AACCACCATGTGTCGATCAACGTAAGACGCAGAAACCCAGAATCGAACCTATCCTCTCACGGATCGATTCCGGTTTGTATCGCATCGATCTCCTGCGTAAAACTCAANAATACAACACGAATCCAACCAAACAAACACAACAACGCATTCTATCCAATTCTTTACCCAGATAAACCTGTGGTCAAGCACTCACCTCGATTCCGGATTGAAAATGAGGATGAACACGAAGAACACACAACCCTAAATCGCCCAGCCTCTGATTTCACTCTTCCAATCCGAAATTAACCAATGTACGATCATTCTCCAAAAAAAAATCACCTAAATCGAATTAGGGTTTCAGAAAACAGGAACGACACGCTGTCTTCGAAAGGACACCGAGAACGGAGATTACCTCAGAATAAGGATCGGAGACCTGATCTAGAAACTAGACAGAGAGAGCTTTCCACAGATAGGTGGATCGTCTCCTAAGTCCTTCTGGTTCGACGGGAATCCTCCCTCACAATGGACTGATCGCAGATCCAAAACTGCAGAAATATCTCTTAGTAAAACGACGATAACTCTCGGAATACTAATCCGAATGACAAACCAATTTCGTCCAAAGCTAGATACGAGAGTGGAAAACTTACCCTAGAAGTTTCTTTCCAATCCGATCCGACTTTCGCAGCCGTTCGTCTCCCCTTCTAAAATCGGACAGAACTGTTTTTCTCTCAAGAAAATCACTTCTCTCACAATTCACTCAATCCACGAATCTCAACCTCTCTCTCTCTGATTTCTCACCCCAAAAACGCGACGAAAATACTTCTGATCGTGTTTTATACTCAACCCTAGGGTTTCACCTAACCAACCACGCGAACCGGATAATTAAAATTGAACCAAACCGGTTCAATTGAACAATTTTCCCAAACATTTTTTAGGGTTTAAAATTTTTAAAATTAGACTCTAAAAATTCTTAATTAGTGGTATTTTTGCAATGAGATAATCCATAGTGGTATTTTTGCAAATGTACACACCAAAAATATCATTTTTGCAATTGTCCCAATGATAATTTTCTTCTAATACTCAATAAATAGAAAATACAAAAAAATTAACAGAGAAAAATATATTTAGAGTCAAGTAGTTGAACTTATATTTATCAAAATTACCAAATCATAAACCAATATATACTAAGATGAAGAATATAGTAGTAACAAAATATATTTTACTTGAAACTTTTATTATCCACACTGGAATCATGGTTTTTATTTTATTTTATTTTAGTCATTATCATAAATGTTGCCAACCAATGATGCGATTCAAACATGAAGTTGGCTTGGAGCTCCATCAAACATACCATTCAAGTCGCATAGGATTCGACAAGGACATATGTGCCTTTCTTAAAGCATACCGAATTAACCACGAAGATTCAGAGCATCAAAATACTTGGGAAACGTTCTCAGCTCAACGACAAAAAGTAATGAATTTGAATCAACCCAATCGGAGTTTCGACGAAGGAGATATTCAGTTTACAAGCCGAGTGATTCTAGACCTATCCGATTCGGACATATGCGCGTTAAAAGAAGGATTCTGACCAAACCAAGAAGAATTAAGCCATGAACCGAATTGTTCCATATTCTTGAGCCATCAGAGACATAAGGAGAATTGGTTTGATGCCAATATCGGTTCAGAAATTAAAGTTATTGATTTTCTAAACCGGCCATTCCTCAGCTTGCCTTATTTGGAACCTTTCGAGTTTGGGAGATTGCAAACGTATCTTTGGAGACCAGGAGACCTTCTACATCAACTAGAAGCTCTACAAGACGTCATTAGCTCTATCAAAATGCAGAGGACCGATTGGTGCTGCAAATGGAATGACTTACCTTATACAGAACCAAGCGCATTCAATATGATCACACTTGGTGTCATAAATCTCCAATGGCTATATCTTCATTTCTGCAGACATCTGAGCACATTTTTAGTGAATCAAGACGTTCCGAGACATCATATATTCATGCCCAAACTCTCAAGCCTCAAGAAACATCACAACTTACCTTATTTGGCCAGATTTCACATTAAAAGCCCAACGGCTAGTTTTTCTTTTGCGATTTTGTTTCTTAGTTTAGGCTATTAGAATGTTGGGAAAGAGTCCTATATAAGTTCAGCTCGAACCATTGTAAAAAGACATCCTTGATCATAGATTAATACAAAGTTTCTAGTTTTTCTTTCAAAGTAGTGTATTTGAAGATTGTTCTTGTTCTTTTGAATAAAAATTTGTGATTCACTTCTATTCTTTAGAAGTCACGAATTAAGTGTGTTTGTGAGATTCAAACATCCTTGTTCGTCCATTTGATTGAGCGAGTCAATCACTTTCTTTCCATCTCTACCATCGTTTTCACATTCCGCAAGTCTAGGCTTGGAATCTCTAGATCATCGAGTGGTCTTAGAATTGGAGTGATTCTAATCCTATATCATTTGGCATCAGAGTTTAAAAGCTCCTACCTCTAGGTTGTGTTCATCCAATTTTATCTTTTCAATTCTGTTTTGCTTTTGTTTCATTTCATAAAATCGAAAATCATAAAAAAATTTCTTGTTTTTTTTGTTTCATTTGGTTTCATAAATTAAAAAAAAAAC